GTGTCTGTGCATGCATGCAGCACTTTGCTGGACCGTGCATGCATGCATTTTGTTTGTTTTTGTTTGCTGTTGCTGTAAACTGTTTTTATTGAAGCATATATAGAGACAGAAGGAGACAGAAAGAGACAAAAGGAGACAGATAGAGACAAAAGGAGACAGAAAGAGACAAAAGGAGACAGAAAAAGACAAAAGGAGACAGAAAGAGACAAAAGGAGACAGAAGGAGACAGGAGACAGAGACAAAAGGAGACAGATAGAGACAAAAGGAGACAGATAGAGACATAAGGAGACTAAAGGAGACATAAATTATTTTTATTTTTATTTGTTTTCTGTATCTGTGCTACCAAAAGAAGGCGCATGCAAATGCTGCTGCTGCTGCTCTCTAGGCAGCGATTACCCTCTACTGCTACTGCTGCTGCTGCTGCTGCTGCTGCTGCTGCTGCCGCTGCTGCTGCTGCTGCTGCTGCTGCAGCAGCAAGTCTCTGTGCTCGCTGCAGATGGTGCGGAATGCCTCTGCTGCAGTGATTGGCTGCCAGTCAACAGCAAAGAGGACGGGGAGACAGACTGTCTGCTGCTGCTGCTGCTGCTGCTGCTGCTGCTGCTGCATGCGGCCTGCTGCTGCTGCTGTTGCTGCTGCAGCAGCAGCAGCAGCAGCAGTTGCAGCACAGCGAGCGTCACGCTCACGGAGACGCACGGGACGGATGAGCCCTTCTACTTTTATTTTTTTTTTGTTTTTTTTTGTTTCTTTTTTGTTGCTGCAGCTGAGGAGACACTCTGCTGCTGCATTGCATGCACTGCAGCACAAAGCCCCAAACAGCAGCTCTCCCGCGTTGCTGCTGCTGCTGCTGCTGCTGCTGCTGCTGCTGAGCAGATCTTTCTCGTGCTGCTGCTTGTGCTGCCGCTGCTGCCGCTGCTGCTGCTGTTGCTGTTGCTGCTGTTTGTATGCATGTGCATGCAGCAGCGCAGCAGCAAGACTGTCAACTGTCTCTGCATCGGAGACAGAAAGGAGACAGTTGAGATGCCGCAGCAGCGTTAGTGCTGCTGCATTCTGCAGCAGCAGCAGCAGCACCCGCCCCGTGTCTGCTGCTTCCAGAGCCACCAGCAGGCCCAGCTGCAGCCCCCGCAGCTTGCTGCTGCTGCTGCTGCTGCTGCTGCTGNTGCTGCTGCTGCTGCTGCTGCTGCTGCTGTTTTCTTCCTGCTGTACCGCCCCACAGCTGCAACTACTACTACTGCTGCTGCCGCTGCTGCTGCTGCTGCTGCTGCTGCTGCTGCTGCTGCAGGCAGTCAAGCAGCGGCGACAGACAGAGGAGACATGCAGCGCCAGCACAGCTTCTACAGAGCCGGAGACGCAGCAGCAAGCGGAGGTGTTTATGTAGAGGGGTTGGGGCCCCCCCAGCCACAAAGGAGACAGCTGGGGGCCCCCCCATCCCTCTGTCTCCTTTCTGCTGTCTCCTTCTGTCTCCTTTCTGCTGTCTCCTTCTGTCTCCTTTCTGCTGTCTCTTCTTTCAGGGCGGAGACAGCTGCCTGCACTGGGTAGTGGGGTGCATCGGCTATCTCTGCTGCTGCTGCTGCTGCTGCTGCTGCTGCTGTTGCTGATGCTGCTGCTGCAGCAGATTGCTGCTGTCTCCGAGCCAGAGGAGACACCCTGGCGAGGGGCTGCGCTGCCCACAGACCGGTAGCCGCAAAGAGGAGACAGCAAAGGAGACGGAGACAAAAAAAAAGAAAAAGGAGACAGAAAGAGAGAAGAAGGAGACAGAGAGAGAGAAGGAGACAGCACAGAAGGGGGCCCCCAAGACAGCAGCGGAGGCAGCTGCAGACTCAGGGGGGCCCCTCCACTGTCTCCTCTGCGCGAGGCCCCAATAGAATCGCTGCAGCAGCAGCAGCAGCAGCAGNGGGGCCCCTCCACTGTCTCCTCTGCGCGAGGCCCCAATAGAATCGCTGCAGCAGCAGCAGCAGCAGCAGCTGCTGCTGCTGCTGTTGCTGCTGCTGCTGCTGCCATGTAGCGTCTCTGAGTATGAGGGAATCTGCGGGGCAGGGGGATGCCTGTCCATGCGAGCAGCAGCAGCAGCA